ATGGTATCCTAAAGGTAGTGTTTGTACTTTAATTGGTTATTCTGACGCGGATTATGCAGGATGTAAAACTGATCAAAAAAGCACGAGTGGAACCTGTCACATCCTTGGAAATGCATTAGTTTCATGGTCATGCAAGAAATAAGCATGCATTGCTCTTAGTACGGCTAAAGCAGAATACATAGCGGCGGGAAGCTGTTGTGCACAAAATCTTTGGCTAAAGCAACAATTAAGCGACTACGGAATTGATCTTGGATGCATTCCTCTCCGATGCGACAACACTAGTGAAATAAACATTACAAAAAATCCGGTCATGCACTCAAGAACCAAACACATCGACATTCGACATCACTTCCTCAGTGATCACGTGCTTAAAGGAGATGTCGAAGTCACTTTTGTAGATACGCATAACCAACTTGCTGACATATTCACGAAACCTCTCGCAAAAGAACCATTCTTTAAGATTCTGCGAGAACTCAGAATTCTCGATGAAGGTGACATCTAAACTCTTCATAAGTTAATATGTATAGAACCTATGTATACCAAGTTCTTGCACTCACTGTTTTAAAGGTTTTTTCTGCTTTTTCGAAGGTGTTAACCGATTAACCCCCACGGTTAACCGATTAACACTGTTAGCTTTTGTTTTTAAAATTAAATTTTAAGTGCGTTAATCGATTAACCCCCGCGGTTAACCAATTAACACTGTTCGTTTTTACTAAAACAGAAACACAAATTATTCAAAATATGTTTTTAATGTGGTCTTTAAGTGTTTTTTTTGTGCATGTGCTTTTTTACTTATTATCATCAAACTTTCCTTGGGACCATCTTCTTCCTGTTGACTCCAAATTAAACCCTAGTCCAACTTCTACCCACTCATCACAATAACTCTCACTTAAATCTCCAACTAAATCATCTCTCTATATAAACCTCTCCTTTTTCACCATCTATATCACAACATAAACCTTAAATCCAGAGAAACATATCAAGCCCTAAGAACTTCATATTTTCTTCAATGGCTCCAACCAAGAAAGGAAAGGGAAAAATGCCAGAAAGCAGCTTCGCGGATAATGAGGATGTTGCTCCAATGGAATCAACCAAAAAGAGAAGAATGGACTTCAAGGTTAGGGTTCGACAGTTGTTTACGGTAAAAGATGTTAATCTCAAAGCTTTTCCAGCTTCCTCCTTCGATTTTCTAGCACTGCTAAAATATCAAAGAATAGATAACTTTGTGTCTGATAATGGTCGTTGCTATCCGGACTTGGTAAAATCATTCATGAACAATTTATCTATTCGTCTGAATGAGGCTGGACAGAACATGCTTGTCACTACAGTTCATGATTGTGAGTTAAATGAAGATCTGTCAAACATTGCTGCAACCCTCAAGATTCCATACACGGGATACTTCCTCCGGAAAGGTGTCAACCACGTAGCAGGACCTTGGGCTAATTATGACAAAATGGAGTATTACTATAGTATCTGCAGATTTCCCAGAGAGGCTGTAATTGCTGGTCAACGGACTTCTTGCACCTTGTGCTATGTCAAAAACCTGTCGGTAAATGACCGTATGCTACATTACATCATCTGCTATGTTCTGATCCCAAAAGATTCCAACCACTCTCAGATCAATGACCTGGAGATGCAATTCATGTTTTCCATCAAGAACAAAATCAGAGTTAATTGGATATTAACTATGATGTATCACATTCAACAACAAATCACTCTTTCTACTCGACTTCCATATGGGCGACTCATCTCTAGCATCCTAGAATTAACAAATTTGGATTTAAACAGAGAACCATCCATCACCTTGAAACCAAACGCAAACGAGATCAATGTGTCGTGCCTCGAAAAATACGATCCTCGCGATGGCCGCGGTAAAATACTGTTCGAAACAGAGTCGCCACCGAACTTTATTCATTCCAAGGATGGAATAGGAAAATATCGATAAAACCTTTAAAGAGATAAGAACATGGTCATCGCAACCAATATTCTAGGTTCGGGAGTCGATTACATGAGGGGAAGGTATTAGCACCCCTCATGTCCGTTGTACTCAACGGGAACCTCTTGATCGATTCGAGAGTAAAGTTAACTATGCTTGTTTGTTTTCTTCTAAGGTTTCTCCTATAGGGGGAAATGGTGGTTATAGGATAGGGTGCTCGCCAAGGATTAGGGCCCTTGTGCCTACGTATCTTCACTTATAAGAAGTGGAAAATCAGAGCATTCGTAATTCGTGGGACTACGGGAAAAAAAGAGGGGATTGTGCTCGCCAAGATCATCGTAATCTTGTGCCTACGTATCTTACATTCAAGAGGGAATGAAGAATCAGAGCAGCCGTAGTTCGGCTAACTATGGTAAAGGGTTTGGTATATGAACGAGTGTTTAGGTCGCGTTCTAACTGCTAAACGTTGGCTTGTTTACTCGCAAGGGGAGGCTGAAGCACTAGTTTGTTATGCGCGGAAGAAGGGACTAAACAATGTTCTTTGGTAAAGGATTGAAATCGTACGAGGGCGAGGAAGATAAGGTTGGTTAGATATTTTGAAGGAGAATGACGACTGCTCGATAAACGAGACGTCAGTCTCGCAACCAATTAGTCGGGATATCGTTGGAATGCTAGATCCCAACGACACCTTCTTCATTCAATTAATTAGGAAATTTTATTTGAATGGACAGTGGCAGTATTGTCCAAATAGTTAGGGCGCGTGTTTTATGGACGAAAGGTCGAGCAACCCACAACCTAAAGCGTACGCCCCAAGAGTGGTTACTCAAGAATTCAAGGAGTGCGAGACTCCAAGAACTCAATTCTTTCGTAGTTTAATTAAGAAAATGGTTTTAAATTTGACGTACGGTTTAGAAGCGTATTAGGGTTTAGATTCGATTACACGTGGGTGAGGAACGAGGTTAGATGGGTTGAAAACTTTAGGAGGAATGACGACTAATCGATAAACGAGACGCCGGCCTCGCAATCAATTAATCGGGATATTACGGGAATGCTAGATTCCAATGATACCTTTTTCATTCAATTAATTATAAAATATGTTTGTTGGAGAATGTAAGTATTGGTCCAAATAATTAAGTGTTTTAGAAACGAAAGTTCAAATGATATACTATTCAAAGTGTACACCTTGATAGTAATTATTCTCGAATTCAAGGAATGCACGACTCCAAGAACTCGATACTTTCGTAATTTAATTATGAAAATAATTTGAAAATATTAGTGTGTAGATTGAACTAGGGTGAGCGTATTGCTCGAATTAGGGTTTGCGACTTTTTGAAGGTTTAAATGAGGTTGGGTATCCTAAGGATGAAAGACGAAGTGACCACAACTCAAGGTGTGCACCTCGAGAGTGATCACTTAAGGATCCAAGGAGTGCTAGACTCCAAAGACCCACCACTTTCATATAAATTTTGAAAAGAAATTTTTAATCTAGAAAATAAAATATTTTTGACTTAATGAAAGAAAAGAGAAATGAATTTGATAAAAAAAACAAATAGGATTTAAATAAAATCAAATTTCAAAACAAATAACAACTATAAAAAATTAGAAAATAAGAATTAATAATATTACTAATAAAAATATTACTAATAATGTTAATAATATAATTACTAATATTACTAGTAATTAGTTTTTTTTAAAATAAACTCTTATCACATTCATTAAGTCCTAATCAAAGGATCAGTCTGGCATTAAATGGAAAAGCAAAAAATTAACCTTCTCCTATCCTCTCCGAATCCGTACGCTCACGTCTCTCTCTCTCTCCCTCGAAACTCAACCGAGCTTCTACCAACATCTTCTCACCGTTGATACCAATCCCTTCCGTTTTCCTCTCATTTTCAAACGAAACCTCTACTCTGACCATACCCCTAAATCTTTTTCTAAAACGCAAACCTAATCCCTTTTCTTAACCCCATTCCTAAATCAAACCACAAACCCTAACTCTACCAACAATCTCACGCGAAAATCACAGCAAGCGAGTAACCACCAAGCATTATAGATGACTCATGGAGACGGTATAAGGATATCAAAAGCGAAGAAAACAAGTTAAAGGCGATGAAGATTTTACCGATTTGGGTGTATCGGCGATACGGTGAGTGATTTCCTCTCCTTGCTTCGAGTCCCTTGTTCCTTTTCTCTTCCTTTCGAAACTTGCGTGTTTTTCTCTAGCTCAGAGTAAGCTCAGGTTCTAATGTTGAACCTGAGTGACTCTTAAAATTTTTGAGCTCTAGTGATTAATGGGGGTTGGGGGTCTATTTTGACAGAGTTTCTTTAGGTTTTTCTTCCGTCTTTTTGCCAATGAATAGGACCATATTTATAGGAGGTTTTTTTTAGGGTTTTTGATACGTGTGAGAATTTGAATTTTTGCTGAAGGGAGGGCTTGATCCGTGTGAGGTAGGACAATGAGGAGCATTTGGGGTAGTACGATTCTGTTAGGAGGTAATACCATGATTTCTGCTTTTCTGAGACTTGATAGTGACTTCTGTGTTTGTCTGTAGTGAAAAAAATAATTGCTTTTTACCCTATTTTTTACTGTGTAAATTCATGGGATCCCTTTTTTTACCGTGTAAAATATTATTGATGTGCAACTTCTCATCCTTTGCTGCTATAATCAAAATATCTCCAAAAGTCTTAATGTTGATTGTTGTTTCTTGCAGAGTACACTACTTTCGTTACTTCATGCTTTGGCTTTAGAACTGATAGGCTCTGTGTGATCAGGTTTGGACGGGCTAGTGACAATATGTTGGTGTAGCTTGAGGATGATGGAGACAATCTCGTGGATGAAGTGGTAGTCGAAGCATCGCAGATATTGAATCCGACTCTGAGTTGTGTTTTTTTGAGCAAGTGGAGTTGTTTCAATTTTTATCATGACACAGTGCAAGAACCATTGGAAATACCAGAGCTTAGAATCAACTATGAGGTAACTGTTTTCTCCTTCAACGCTGTGATTGATGAAAAACATTGGAAATAAACTATTTGTATTATGCCCAACTATGATTGGAATTTGACTTCATAATAACCTGCTGAGAGACTTAATTAGTAGCTTCAAATTCTTTCTTGTAGCTTCATCACCGGTGAAGCCCAAAATATCAGAGCTAACATTCTCACTGTTTTTCAGGGTGAATATGAGAGTGTATATGGACTTTTGGATCAGTTCGGTGTCCTCAGGGGTCATAATTGATGAATATGCCCTTCTCAAATCATCAGAAGCTTGTGTAAGGCTTCGAGTTAAATTCTCAACTTCCTTCAACAGACCACTATCGCGGACATCAGCCAGCAAAGGTTGAAGATCTTCAGCCACGACTTTCATCTTCGTAAGTAGTGGCTTTGCTTCTTCAGTAACAGAAGCAGCTCTTTCAGCCAATGGATAGCTGTCAGCTATACCAATTTTCTCTACATCTCGGCCAAGACGGGTAAATACCCCCACCAATGCATCCAAACTTACCCTTGGGAACCCTTCATCTTTTCTATAGAGCTAAAGGTATCAAACACGTGACAAAAATATGAGAGCTTCTTGTACAAGTCGGCTTCAGTGTACTTTCTATTGAGGTGCCCGTTGCAGCGAGGATAATTTGGACAGACAGTTCTTCGCTCAGAATCACCAACCAAACGAAAGCTGACACTTCGCGTTGTATGTTTACATGTTTCATCATCACACGTTAGTAAACCTCTATAATACATTAAAACAAACTTCTCTGCTTGCCGCTTGACCTGATTGGCTATCATTGCAGGAGATATTCTACCAACACCATTTTCAAAGCATTTCGGACAGCCCAGCTTGTGCCAGAAATTATAGTCAGATTCATCCGCACCTAAGCTGTCTGGCTTTTCATTTCCCAATATACACATTGTTTTAAACATGGGTGGGCAGTCAAATGTAGTAGAGCAGCTGGGGCATGACAAGACTAACGACTCACATCCTCGATACCTCTCCTCATCATCACCAGCAAACAAGAGTGAGCTTGTAGGATCATCCTTGTTAGCAGCAAGAACCATTGCTTGGGATTTAATGCCCCTCATGCTTGCTGGTTTTAAGTTGCAAAGAACACAGACTTTTCGGTTATGCATTTCATCAAGTGGTATATACTTGACAAGCCCTGGGGATGTAATTCGTTCTCCAACAGAAGCAGAACTGGGTGGTTCAACCAACTCAACCTTGGTGTGATCATCGTAAGGTTCCTGTTGAACTTCTTTTGCTTGGATAACAGTGCATATTTCTTCTTGCGGTTTTCCTTTCATTCGTTTATACTGATCCAACTCTTATCTTTTCATGTATGCATTTGGTGCGGGAACAACATCTTGGGAGTTACAACCACATACGCGCACTCTGCTCACGGGTGAATGAAGAAGCTTGAGATTTAGCTTTAGAACTCGACACTTCATTGTAGGGACTTGGTTCTTTTTATTATGAAACTTGGTGTTGCGCTTAAGGTTTCATAATCCTGTGTTGACACTTTTTGCAGATATGGTGCTCATGGCTAGTTTGGCATGATAGAAAGATTTGTGCATTGTCGTAATAAACTGTGCAATTGTAAAGTTTGCGTAGGGATCATCCTAGACGCGACCAGCCTTTACTGTCTGAAATGTATTGGCGTGGATACGGAGAGATAATGTTGTTGCTGCTTTTGCAACGGTAGTTAAATTAATTGTTGTCCGTATCAATAATGATGCTCACGTCAAACTAACCGGGACTTCTTTGTAATTTCTAATCAGCTTTTTATTGTTTCAGGTGTTTGATGAGGGAGTCTGGAGAATTGCTTGTGAGATGGTCTTCATGCTATTGCACGTCAAAGCGTCCCGCCGACTGCGAATTAGCATCTCTAGAAACGGCAGAATTCTCTTGTGGCCTTTTGGATGTTTCATGCACTTAGAAGGTAATGATTTGTGCCCATAAAAATATTTAACAGGTATGCAGAAAATCCCTCGTACGGTCTGATGTAACAGTAGGGGGTCTTTGTTGTGAACACATGCTTATGATGATTTACCGAACACTAGACGCGTTACCGGCGAAGACAGTCCCGTTTCCTGCTCCCTTAATGTCCTTAGCAGTCTAACAGGGCCTGATTGTGATGGTTGTCTCATTGTTTTTTTGCATTATAAACTGATTGTGACTTGTTTTGCTGCCGTCATAACCGAAAATTCTGACCTGTGCTGCCTTTTGTTTCATGTTAAAGTGATGCAGGGTATTTGGCCATAGGATAGACATAACGCAATACCGTTTGGAGAAATGACTTGCATAGTTCATAAGAAAAAGGTTGGTAAGCCTGTTGTACTGTGACTTGGTATGCGATTTATTGAGTTTAAACTAATCCATTGCCTCTCTTTATTTCGTATGTATTTGGCACGGAGGCTTGAAGGATGAAAATACCGAAAGTTGTTTGTAATGTGAGACTTAGTCGTGCAGGTCAGCAGAAAAAAACAACAGTTCCTTCTCCGGATACACCTGGACATCACCATAATAGCACGGGCCTTTTCAACAACTCTTGAAAGGCTTGATATGCTTCCTTTTCATCACCTTGAAGCTCAAGAACAGACCTGACCCCTTATCCATGAGCCTGTTCATACAGAATACCAGCATCTGACCAGATGGTGTCGTACTCATATGTATTTTTATATTCATATCCTGCGTATTGCTCATTCAGTTCGTGGTCATCCATATCAAGCAGTGGCAAATATTCAGAACCATTCTCATAACCCAGATTCTCGGATTCATCATGAACAAGAACATCAAATCCAGGGGAGGATTCCCACCGTTCCTCAGGCTCTACATGACAGTTTTCCTGCTCCTCTGAACTCTGCTCAAAGCATGAATGAGACATATTATGAGCAAAACCATTGTCTGGTACCAGAGAGTCTGACTGAGTCACAGCAGCTTCATTATAGTCAAATGAAGAAAATTCCAAGCAAACACTTTGCTGTTTAACATTTTTGGGTAACGGTAACCGAAGGTCTTCCTTAGACCTAAGTCTAGCATCAGACAGAGCTTTTGGAGCAGATAAAGATTGCTAAAAATGTGTTTCCCTTGGTGTTGGTGCTACAGATGTTTTATTTCCTGATAAAGCTTTATTTTCTAAGTTGAGTGCATGAATGTTTCCATTGTCATTCTTCAAAGGCTTTACAGTGTCATTCTTCGAAGGCTTTACAACGAGCAAGCTATCATCAGGCTTATGTGAAAATGAGCATCTGCTACCATTGTTGCAAAAACCATTGAAGAACAAAAATAACAAGGAACCATTGTCTTGTTTGCAGATGCAGGTACGAAAGATTGTATAGGTTCAGATGGAACTCTCAGCATGCCCGTCCAATGGAGGGTGTCTAAAAGCACAAGTCGGATTAAGTGTCCGGACCATTTCTTGTCCTTGGCATATTTTATGTTCTTTGGTCCGAATCCATGTAGACAATTGATCCCCAATAGACCGACTTGAATATAGCCAGGACAGAAAAGCACCACTACTGTCTGAAATTCCATCGGGAGAACTTGGGGTGACCATGTCCTCAAAGACAGACCCCTGAGCTGCACCAAGAGTGAATTGTGCTAGCAGTAGAGACTCATCCAGGAGAAGGCATGATGCATCTCCGTTGAGAAAAATTTTCTCTCTGATCTCAGGACCTTGGCTGATATCATGCAAATCCTTGGGACCACTACTTTTATCGGTATATCTACCTAACCCACAAGCATGAGACATTTCCTGCAGAAATTGAAGGATTTTCTTAAGTTGTGAAGCTCTCAGAAAGCATATGCACATTGGTGTTTGGTCTAAATCATGTTTTTTAGAAGTTCAGAACCAGCAGCAAGACCTCGGATCTCACCCTTACTAAATAGTATGACCTTGTGAAGATGACTAGCAGCAATACATTTGTGTCCAATAAGTATTTCAAATAATCCATGGATTTTCTCTAGAAGTTTTGCACACTCCTTGTCATCGGATACTGGCCAACACTCAGTAACAGGATTTGCCACAAACTGTTGGTCTTCGATGCCTTTTCTGGCATTACTTCCAACAATTTATAATACTTGCTTCTTTCTGTTGTACAATTATCAAAACTGTATCCTAAACTTTCCTTTTCATGGTATGTGCTGGTTGAATCTATTTCGTCACTCAGTAGAACTCTTTTCTTGTAATAAATTTTAACATTATTTTGAGTGAACCAGGCATTGAGCAATATTACCGTAAAAAGCCTGCGTGTCGTTCGCGTTTTAACCTTCAAATTCATTTTATATGACACATTGCTATTAACAGGCTTTGCTATTATTTTGACTTCTAAAACACCCCGTGGTTAGCACCATTTAACATTGGACACAAAGCTTGTGGCTTTAGTCTTAAAAATGATGAAACTTTTCTCGGAAAATGTCTTTGAAACATATTTTGACATTCTCATACGTAGCCCATAGGAAGGGTCAAAGTGCCTCCTACACAACCTAAAACCTTACTGGCAAAACTTGAAGTATAACCGGACATCCTGAGATGTTATATGAAAAATAGGCTTAGGAATTGTTTCCAAAATATGTTTTGAAATTTGCAATTTAAATCTAAGTTTGTCACAAACTGATTTAGAATTCAATTATAACCCGACACTTGTAATCAAACCGCGCTTGAGGCGAAATCGACCATGTCTAGTAGCAACATGTGAAGTATCTTGTATTGAGTGCATATCGTAGCAAGTAACTTGTACAAGCAACTCGTAGTGAGGTTTAAATAGCCTTTAAATAATTTTGTAACCTAATTGAAATAGGGTTTAATTTTCTTGAAAACCAACAGTCATGTTGCGAGGTAGATCCAATCATGTATTTGACGTCATTGTCCCTATCATATATGTCTTATTGTGGGAACGAGGGCACACACGAGTTTGGGTACAAGGGGCTGGAGGCATGCTCCTCCCACAATAGTTCAGCATAAATTGCCATGGATTATCACCACAATGAGTATACGCGAAGTATTTATAACGAAACCTTATAGAGTCATGGCCAGAAGTCATGTGGCAGTAGGACATTTATTAAATACCAAAGTAGGACAAATTTGGGGTATGACAGATGCCCCTATCTAATTGCCTTAAACCTGAGAGAATGAATTGTTGTATGACATTCATTTTAAGGTGGAAGTCAATTAGATATAAGAAGACCCCGAAATTTGTCCAATAAGCAAGTAAACTGCAGTGAGATATACTAGAGCAGAGTAGCAGGATGTAAAAGATAAACGAGATAATCTGATATTCTCCGGGTGGTCGGAGCAGTCCCTCATCCATTAAGGCTCTTCAATGATACCAAAGCGGTATAAACGATCCCCTTTGGGTGGTTGATGCAGCCTCTTATCCAATAAGATTCCTCAATGGTTGATGCAGCCTCGAACAAAACTTGAGATTCTTCGGGTGGTCGAAGTAGTACCTTATCCATTAAGGCTCTTCGATGATACCAAAGCAGTATCTCGAACAAAACTTGAGATTCTTCGGGTGGTCGAAGCAGTACCTTATCCATTAAGGCTCTTCGATGATACCAAAGCAGTATCTCGAACAAAACTTGAGATTCTTCGGGTGGTCGAAGCAGTACCTTATCCATTAAGGCTCTCCGATGATACCAAAGCAGTATCTCGAACAAAACTTGAGATTCTTCGGGTGGTCGAAGCAGTACCTTATCCATTAAGGCTCTTCGATGATACCAAAGCAGTATCTCGAACAAAACTTGAGATTCTTCGGGTGGTCGAAGCAGTACCTTATCCATTAAGGCTCTCCGATGATACCAAAGCAGTATCTCGAACAAAACTTGAGATTCTTCGGGTGGTCGAAGCAGTACCTTATCCATTAAGGCTCTCCGATGATACCAAAGCAGTATCTCGAACAAAACTTGAGATTCTTCGGGTGGTTGAAGCAGTACCTTATCCATTAAGGCTCTCCGATGATACCAAAGCAGTATCTTGAACAAAACTTGAGATTCTTCGGGTGGTCGAAGCAGTACCTTATCCATTAAGGCTCTTCGATGATACCAAAGCGGTATCTCGAACAAAACTTGAGATTCTTCAGGTGGTCGAAGCAGTACCTTATCCATTAAGGCTCTCCGATGATACCAAAGCAGTATCTCGAACAAAACTTGAGATTCTTCGGGTGGTCGAAGCAGTACCTTATCCATTAAGGCTCTTCGATGATACCAAAGCAGTATCTCGAACAAAACTTGAGATTCTTCGGGTGGTCGAAGCAGTACCTTATCCATTAAGGCTCTTCGATGATACCAAAGCAGTATCTCGAAC